ACCTTCTCGTCAGCGCCAGGAACCTTGTCCTCACCGTCAGGAACCTTGTTCTCACCGTCAGGAACCTTGTCCTCACCGCCAGGAACCTTGTCCTCACCACCAGGAACCTTGTCCTCAGCGCCAGGAACCTTGTTCTCACGGCCAGAAACCTTGTCTTCAGCGCCAGGAACCTTGTCCTCAGCGCCAGGAACCTTGTCCTCACCGCCAGGAACCTTGTGCTCAGCGCCAGGAACCTTGTCCTCACCGCCAGGAACCTTGTCCTCAGGACGAGGAATCTTGTCCTCACTGCAAGGAACCTTGTCCTCACCGCCAGGAACCCTGTCCTCACCGCCAGTAACTTTGTCTTAAGCGGCAGCAACCTTGTCCTCAGCGCCAGGTACTTTGTCCTCAACGCCAAGAACCTTGTCCTCGGCGCCAGGAACCTTGTCCTCTGCACCAGGAACGTTGTCTTCAGCGCCAGGAACCTCGTCCTCAGCGCCAGGAACTTTGTCGTCTGCGGCAGGAATCTTGTCCTCAGCGCCAGGAACCTTGTCCTCACCGCCAGGAACCTTGTCCTCACCGCCAGTAACCTTGTCCTCACCGCCAGGAACCTTGTCCTCAGGGCCAGGAACCCTGTCCTCAGCGGCGGGAACGTTGTACTCAGCGCCAGGAACCTTGTCCTAAGCCAAGAGCCTTGTCCTCACCGTCAGGAACCTTGTCCTCACCGCCAGGAACCTTGTTCTCACCGCCAAGAACCTTGTCCTCAGCCGCAGAAACCTTGTCCTCAGCGCCAGGAACCTTGTCCTCGTCTTCAGGAACCTTGTCCTCAGCGCCAGGAACCTTGTCTTCAGCGGCAGGAACCTCGTCCTCAGCGCCAGGAACCTTGTCCTCAGCGCCAGGAACTTTGTCCTCAGCGCCAGGAACCTTGTCCTCAAATGCAGGAACCTTGTCCCCAGCGCCTGGAACCTTTTCCTCAGCGCCAGCAATCTTGTCCTCAGCGCCAGGAACCTTGTCCTCACCGCCAGGAACCTTGCCCTCACCGCCAGGAACCTTGTCCTCACCGCCAGGAACCTTGTCCTCACCGTCAGGAACCTTGTCCTCACCGCCAGAAGCCTTGTCCTCACCGCCAGGACCTTGTCCTCAACCACCGCCAGGAACCTTGTCCTCAACCACCGCCAAGAACCTTGTCCTCAACCACCGCCAGGAACCTTGTCCTCACCGCCAGGAACCTTGTCCTCACCGCCAGGAACCTTGTCCTCACCGCCCGGAACCTTGTTCTCACTGCCAGGAACCTTGTCCTCACCGCCAGGAACCTTGTCCTCACCGCCAGGAACATTGTTCTCACCGCCACCGCGAGGAACCTTGTCCTCACCGCCAGGAACCTTGTCCTCGCCGCCAGGAACCTTGTCTTCACCGGCAGTAACCTTGTCTTCACCGCCAGGAACCTTGTCCTCACCGCCAGGAACCTTGTCCTCACCGCCCGGAACCTTGTTCTCACTGCCAGGAACCTTGTCCTCACCGCCAGGAACCTTGTCCTCACCGCCAGGAACATTGTTCTCACCGCCACCGCGAGGAACCTTGTCCTCACCGCCAGGAACCTTGTCCTCGCCGCCAGGAACCTTGTCTTCACCGGCAGTAACCTTGTCTTCACCGCCAGGAACCTTGTCCTCACCGCCAGGAACCTTGTCCTCACCGCCCGGAACCTTGTTCTCACCGCCAGGAACCTTGTCCTCACCGCCAGGAACCTTGTCCTCACCGCCAGGAACATTGTCCTCACCGCCACCGCGAGTAACCTTGTCCTCACCGCCAGTAACCTTGTCCTCACCGCCAGAAACCTTGTCCTCACAGGCAGAAACCTTGTCCTCACCTCCAGGAACCTTGCAGGTCTCACCGCCAGGAACATTGTCCTCACCGCCACCGCGAGGAACCTTGTCCTCACCGCCAGGAACCTTGTCCTCGCCGCCAGGAACCTTGTCTTCACCGGCAGTACCCTTGTCTTCACCGCCAGGAACCTTGTCCTCACCGCCAGGAACCTTGTCCTCACCGCCCGGAACCTTGTTCTCACCGGCAGGAACCTTGTCCTCACCGCCAGGAACCTTGTCCTCACCGCCACCGCGAGTAACCTTGTCCTCACCGCCAGTAACCTTGTCCTCACCGCCAGAAACCTTGTCCTCACAGTCAGAAACCTTGTCCTCACCTCCAGGAACCTTGTCCTCACCGCCAGGAACTTTGTCCTCACCGCCAGGAACCTTGTCCACACCGCCAGGAACTTTGTCCTTACTGCCAGGAACCTTGTCCTCACCGCCAGGAACTTTGTCCTCACTGCCAGGAACCTTGTCGTCACCGCGAGGAACCTTGTCCTCACCGCCAGGAACATTGTCCTCACCGCCAGTAACCTTGTCCTCACCGCCAGGAACCTTGTTCTCACCGCCAGTAACCTTGTCCTCACCGCCAGAAACCTTGTCCTCACAGTCAGAAACCTTGTCCTCACCGCCAGGAACCTTGTCCTCGCCGCCAGGAACCTTGTTCACACCGCCAGAAACCTTGTCCTCACAGTCAGAAGCCTTGTCCTCACCGCCAGGACCTTGTCCTCAACCACCGCCAGGAACCTTGTCCTCAACCACCGCCAGGAACCTTGTCCTCACCGCCAGGAACCTTGTCCTCACCGCCAGGAACCTTGTCCTCACCTCCAGGAACATTGTCCTCACCGCCACCGCGAGGAACCTTGTCCTCACCGCCAGTAACCTTGTCCTCACCGACTGAAACCTGGTCCTCACAGTTAGAAACCTTGTCCTCACCGCCAGGAACCTTGTCCTCAACCACCGCCAGGAACCTTGTCCTCACCGCCAGGAACCTTGTCCTCACCGCCAGGAACCTTGTCCTCACCGGCAGTAACCTTGTCTTCACCGCCAGGAACATTGTCGTCACCGCCAGGAACCTTGTCCTCACCGCCAGGAACCTTGTTCTCACCGCCAGTAACCTTGTCCTCACCGCCAGAAACCTGGTCCTCACAGTCAGAAACCTTGTCCTCACCGCCAGGAACCTTGTCCTCGCCGCCAGGAACCTTGTCCTCACCGCCAGGAACATATTCCTCACCGCCACCGCGAGGAACCTTGTCCTCACCGCCAGTAACCTTGTCCTCACTGCCAGAAACCTTGTCCTCACAGTTAGAAACCTTGTCCTCACCGCCAGGAACCTTGTCCTCAACCACTGCCAGGAACCTTGTCCTCACCGCCAGGAACCTTGTCCTCACCGCCAGGAACCTTGTCCTCACCGGCAGTAACCTTGTCTTCACCGCCAGAAACATTGTCCTCACTGCCAGGAACCTTGTCCTCACCGCCAGGAACCTTGTTCGCACCGCCAGTAACCTTGTCCTCACAGCCAGAAACCTTGTCCTCACAGTCAGAAGCCTTGTCCTCACCGCCAGGACCTTGTCCTCAACCACCGCCAGCAACCTTGTCCTCAACCACCGCCAGGAACCTTGTCCTCACCGCCAGGAACCTTGTCCTCACCGCCAGGAACCTTGTCCTCACCTCCAGGAACATTGTCCTCACCGCCACCGCGAGGAACCTTGTCCTCACCGCCAGTAACCTTGTCCTCACCGACTGAAACCTGGTCCTCACAGTTAGAAACCTTGTCCTCACCGCCAGGAACCTTGTCCTCAACCACCGCCAGGAACCTTGTCCTCACCGCCAGGAACCTTGTCCTCACCGCCAGGAACCTTGTCCTCACCGGCAGTAACCTTGTCTTCACCGCCAGGAACATTGTCCTCACCGCCAGGAACCTTGTCCTCACCGCCAGGAACCTTGTTCTCACCGCCAGTAACCTTGTCCTCACCGCCAGAAACCTGGTCCTCACAGTCAGAAACCTTGTCCTCACCGCCAGGAACCTTGTCCTCGCCGCCAGGAACCTTGTCCTCACCGCCAGGAACATTGTCCTCACCGCCACCGCGAGGAACCTTGTCCTCACCGCCAGTAACCTTGTCCTCACCGCCAGAAACCTGGTCCTCACAGTTAGAAACCTTGTCCTCACCGCCAGGAAACTTGTCCTCACCGCCAGGAACCTTGTCCTCACCGCCAGGAACCTTGTCCTCACCGCCAGGAACCTTGTCCTCACCGGCAGTAACCTTGTCTTCACCGCCAGAAACATTGTCCTCACTGCCAGGAACCTTGTCCTCACCGCCAGGAACCTTGTTCGCACCGCCAGTAACGTTGTCCTCACCGCCAGAAACCTGGTCCTCACAGTCAGAAACCTTGTCCTCACCGCCAGGAACCTTGTCCTCACCGCCAGAAACCTTGTCCTCACATATAAATTTGATTATCGCTTATCATGTTTATTATAATAATCACTATAATAATCACAGTTCACGAAACAGGCATCTTTAATTCTCATTTCACGGAGCAGTTTTATCAACAATCACGCCTCACGGCTGTAGAACAAATCACATTTGATGACACTAAAATCAAGCATTTCACATTTCAAATGTACAAATATTTACCATTTGCGGCTCACGAAAATAGCCTTTCCCACGCCTAAAAATTTGCTCCGCATGCCATTATTTAAGAGTGCGGTGCCAAAAATGAGTGTAGTGTAAACGGGGCTAGTGTCAACTATTCATGATAGTCCGCCATATTTTTGAGATCAGTGAGGATGGCCACCCACCAACCACCGAACCAGTCACGGTAACCCACGCCCGCGCTCATTGATGAACTTTAGACTTGGCTAATGCTTTCGTTTCTCCGGGTGTAAATAGCAGGGGGGAATTAGTACCCTCGCACGGCGCTTCGCGCCGTCGGCTAGGGGACAAACGTGCAGTTGAAGACAAATTTCACTTTGCATTCGAATGTAATAAAACGAGAATTTGCGAAATAACTCGCACAACATCCTGAAGGACTATTTCCAAAAGAACGTCACCAATGAATTAAAGAGAAAATTATTAAGTGATCTTATGTCATAATTGAATGACCCTGTGATAACGGATCTATTCTGGAAGCATATTTCGAAATGTTTTTATATCAGAGACAACAGTCCTTAAACCAGAAATTTTGTATTTGTTATCCTTCCTATTTCAGTATTTGATCTACTCTTTTACTTTTAATATTATACATGTAGATAGCAGTATATTCACTTGTTTTTTGTTGGTTAAAGTAGTTCTTATATTAGTTAACTTTTATATATTTACGATTATGCTTAGCAATACATCTAACTAGGTCATGCAAATAAAGCTTATTTTAAAATAACAATACACCTTAATTTATTGTCCATTTTTTCTCAAACTCGCAAATTCGAGTAAGTGCTAGCTTGCTGACTTACTCCTTAAATTTTTGTCCATTTTGCGCCACTTTTCCAAGTTTCAAAGTGTCAAAAAATGTCGAAAAAGCAAAGGGATAAGCCTTAAGTTTATTTCATGATTACGTTAAGGGGTTTGCAAATTTAATTAGAAAATTCGGGAAAAATCTACGGCTTACCCCTTAACTTTTTCACCATTTTTCGCTAGTTTTTCAATTCGTCAAATAGTTACCAAAAATGGCAAAAAAGCAAATGCGTAAGCTTTAAATTGATTTCATGATAATCTCTAACCATCACACTATGCTTATCAGCCTATGACCACTTTTTTACTTTATCAAAAGTGGCACAAATTAATAATCGAGAAAAAGTTAAGGCAATACGAAGGGGTTAACCTGAATTTACTCTATGGCCATTTCATATCACTTTTTGGCTGACCAAACGTGGAGTTTTGACATAATATTCAACGGGGTGATGTGGAACAACATCTTTAACTTACGGTTCTGATCAGGCTTACATTTACTTCAAAATTTCACCACAAATCATTGAGTTTTCAGCTAGTGCGTGGTTATTTATCGAAAATACATTGACATAACAAAAAAAAACAAGTGGTAAATGGATGGTCTGAAGCAATTATCTTTGAAGTATTACTTAGCACTAAAAGAGTTTTTTGTTTGGTAATTTACGAGCGCTGAATCAAGCTGGCAAAGGGCAATGCAAGACATTAGTATTCTGAAACAGCGAGCGGCAATATGACCGGGTAGACCACAGAAAAACAAGTTGCAGAGAGGTTGCGAGGACGCCGGGGAACAGGTGCAGCATGGTGTGGGATTCATAGAGCTGTTAACCGCGGGTGGTTTGAATGTTTTAAAGGACTTATCGACTTCGGTAGTCGAGTCTAGAACTTTAGTATAATCATCGTCGGAGAACAGTGCCACAAAATACTCGTGAAACAGCGCCTTAAGCCCTGGGCAAACTAGGATGAACATAGTTGCGGAAACATTGTTTCCTGCCAAGATTTCGCCATGTTTCCCACAGTGGGCAAACACTAGGAAACATCAGTGAGGAACATTAGCGCTCAGGGTAAATTAGTCGTCGGTTAACTGGCCCCTTATTATCTTCCATTTGTACTTGTATTCTTCTCCGTCAATGCCAAATTCCTTCAACTCGTTGTCAATCTGAGCATAACTCCATAAACCTTCTCTTTTTCGTCTCAGTTTAAGTATTTTACATTACCGGACATCCCACAGTTTCTTGCTTCATACAAACCTTCCAACTTCACTGTTTCGGTATCTTTCCACACTCGCTGTAAACATATGGACAAACAGGGAAACAATGTTTTCACAACAAAAAATACACTTGGGAAACATCAAATGTTTCTGAATTTGGTAGGAGACATTTTTGATTCCAGGGAAGCAATTGTTTCCGCAACAATGTTTCCATGGGTGGGCAAACAGGGAAACATTTGAGTAAACATCACCGAAATCACAAATGTTTCCGCAACAATGTTTCCTATAGTGTGCCCAGGGTTTTACGCCTTTAGGCTTATCGATTCGGTCTCTCAACGCGTAGCCTGCGTGCACCCTGACTTTAAATGGAGAGAAGTCAGTCTGCGAATCAGGGAACAATACTGTGTTCGCGCCATCTTTTGAATTGCATTGATTTCTGTATTCAAACGTGATTGGCTATTGCTCAAAAGCCTAACACACGCGCTACGATTGGCCAATTCGTTAATATGTATTTGGTTCAAACAACATTCCAGAATGAAAAAAATGGCGGACAAAAACACAAAGAGCAATATTGTGTGTAATTTATGCACAAACCCGTACAAAAGATTTGAAAGGGATCTCATTGAGTTTCCCAAGATGCCATTTTGCTAAATATATTATTTTGTTGAACTGAATCTATTAACGAATTAATGGCCAATCGTAGCGCGTTTTTTAGGCTTCTAAGCAATAGCCAATCACGTTTGAATACAGAAATCCATGCAATTCAAAAGATGGCGCGAACACGGTATTGTTCCCTGATTCGCAGACTGACTTCTCCCCATTTAAAGTCAGGCTGCACGCAGGCTATCAACGCGAGAAGAGCAACGTTAAAGAAAGACGCCTTTTCATGATGCCCTTGCTCGGCTTCGTTAGCTAGGGCTTCAACCATAGAAATAGCAGTATATTGATCAAAATCCACCAATTTTCTAATTCCATATGAAGTCAATGATTTTATTCGAGCAGTTATGTCCGGTTTCTGCTGGCTCTCCAAAAGGGTAATTCTCTGCACCAGCTGAGAAAATGAGACGGCCTGTTATCAAGAAAGATAACCAGTTGATATTTATATGATACACCGATGATAACAATATCTGGGCAAAACTGCCAAACATTTTAGCCAAAACATGGGGAATTCATCAAAGCTTACATTCCCGAAGCCTTCAAATCAATTGATTAAAACATGGTCGTAGCAACGAGGAGGCTGGGGCTGGCCAATAATTTACTAATAATCCGACTGGGGAATTAGACTCCCTTTTCACTGCTCGAACATCCCGGTAAAAACTCGAGAGAGAGTAAAATTAACCGCTAAGAAATAGGGGTCAATGGATTCAAATAGCTAGTGAAAAGCGAAACATGTTGAAATAAACTCACGGCAAAAATCTCACAAGGGACAAGTAAAATTGTCTGGTGCAAAATATTTTTCGCAACATGCTGAAATTATCCATGGCAGATTGCACACATCGCATGTTAAATTTCTCTCATGACAAAATCGCGTACACCATGAAACGCTGAAATTATAGCCTGGCAGGATCAACACCGCGGAAAAACGTCTGCGCATGCGTCAACCTTACCTGTAATAGTATTGCGAACTTGATGAGAAGCTGTTCTGAACGCTCAAAATGGCGGTAAAAAGGAGTGACTTTATTGTGCGTCTTTACAGCCAGATTTTGAGCGCAAAAATAAACATGTCATTCTAAAAACTAGGAATAAATACAGCCAGAAGGTTCAAGAAATTGTATTGTACAAGAACATGAACTAAAGGTGATTGTTGACAAATTTATCGTCTGAAACATTTTGTTTATCAACTAAGCAACGACAATTTCCGAATTTTCGTTTGAGATACATTTCTTAAAAAAAAACTGTGTCGCCAAATATAAAAAATTTTCGTGTTCACAATAATTAAACTTTAGGATTTATTCTACAATTTGAGCGGGTTAAGAAGCTTAACTTTTCGAGAGTTTTCTTAACTTTTGAGTTTGAATTTTTGTTTTGAATAATTTTGCAAAAATTTTCGAAGTCGTGTCCGTTAAAATCAACAATTTTTACATGAATTATATTTCATTCCATACTTTAAATGCCAGGACGCTTTCAATTAATGTCTAGTCTACCCATTTGCTATATTTTCTCGTTTGTTTTACTAATTTTTGACCAATTAATAAGCATGTTTTTGTTTTAGAATTTGATATTCAAATTCCCCGCCATATTTTCATAATTTGGTGCATGCGCAGACGTTTTCCGCGGTGTTGGCAGGATCTCATAAGCATGGCCATATGCTGAAATCATCTCCAGGTAAAAAAGCGCATGCGCCATATATTGAAATGAACTCATGGCAAAATAACTCGTACGCCACATGTTGAAATAATCTCATGGCAAAATCTCTCCTACGCCACATGCGACATTATCTCATGGCAAATATTTCATACGCCACATGTTGAAATTATCTCATGGCAAAACAGCGCATATTATACGCCACATATTGAAAATATATTGCAAGACAAAAGAACTCATACGTCACATGTTGAAACAATCTGATGGCATCTCCTACGCCCCATGTTGAAATTATCTCATGGCAAAACAGCGCATATTATACGCCACATATTGAAATTATATCACAAGACAAAATAACTCATACGTCACATGTTGAAACAATCTGATGGCAAGACATCTCTCCTACGCCACATGTTGAAATTATCTCATGGCAAAATACGTGGCCCATATGCCACACATTGAAACGAGCTCAGCCGCGCTCATGGCAAAGTCTAATACGCTGCAAGTTGAAATTAAATGATCCGAACAAACTTATCGCACAAGACCAAAAGCCAAAAAATGCATGTTTGATTTACAAACAGAGCCTGACACAAACTTTAATCCTATCGCACTTCACATAGTTTATATTTAGTTTCCAATCAAAATGTCCCTGCATGGAGAAATGTCAATTATGTACACAACAATAATAAGTAAACAAATTAAAACAATCTAATTTAATATAGTTAAACCTACTAAACATATCAATGAGAAATAGTATAATCTATTTAGCACTAACCAATCAAGTGAAATGTCACGGATTTTGGCTTTTTCACATGCAGCCAGACAGGGATTTGTGTCAGGCAATACGCATTTAAATTTTAAGGGATGGAAACGAGAGCCTGATACTCAGCAATGACGAAACTGGCCATAGCAACAGGTCATGATAGGCAAATCAGTTTTAATGATTTGCATCATGCAAACTTTTAGAAATTTTTAACCTATTTAGCTAGCTTCGCCACTGATACTCAGGCTAACGTTCATCTTACTTCTGACACTTATAACAACAAAAGACAATTAATAAAGGACCGATAAACAATAGCAGCATACCAATTACTAAAACAGCAATTGCCCAACCGGGGAAAGAACCTCCCCCTGTTTGCGAACCATTCACTCCCCCGCCTCCCCCTCTGGAAATTCTTCCCCCACCACCTCTCCTTCCTCCACCTCTACCCCCACGGGCAGCTTTGACAGGTACACATTGAGAAGTGTCTACACATTTCCCATCAATACAACATTTACTGGCACATTGGTTATTAAACCTCGAACAGCCATGAACGTTAGTTTTGACATGTTTTAATGTTGGTGACGTGTTTCTTGTCACATCTTCTCGATCCATTGCCTTCGCCTCAGTTACTACTTTTCGTCTATCTGTAGTTTTTAAGCTTGTACTTGAAGGCTTTTGCGATGTAGGCTGAGTTGTGCCACGAACAGGATTCGAGCCTGTCAAAGAAAGCCTAGAAGAGTTATGAAAAAAGTTAGGTAAAACATTCCATCAATAAAACGTAACAATTTGTACGAAGTTGCATAAAACATCAGGTAAAATTGTGTTCTGTTAAGCAGAGTAAAATAATTATCTAAAGTTATTTTAGTATTATTTAAACAAGAAGGAACGACCTTCTCATTGACTTTCTCATCGCTTTTAAATTGACAAGTAAAACCACCTGGCGTTATGCATCAGTCAATTCCAGCAGCATCCTTCCCCCCCCCCCCGGGACAGTACTAGTGTGGGGCATTTGACAATACTAGTGTGGGGCATTTTTACGCTTACTTGTCGCCACGGCCGGGCATTTGCATCTGCGTGTTCATCCGGGAGCATTTATCAATATCGGGTTATTACCCCCGGGCATTTGTCGGGTTATTACCCCCGGGCATTTGTCGCTCACGGAGAAAAGACCGCGGCCACGAGTTTCCTGTGTCGTATGCCAAAATGGACGACTTTTAAAGACCATGTAAAGTCCGTAATGTAAACAAACGCTTTGTTTACATTTTGAACTCAGTGCTACAGTTGAAAAATATGATTAGATATATATTATACTGAATTTTTAACACTCTTCTGACTCGCTATGCTTGTAAATGAATACAGACTAAAGATTCAATTCAAGAAAGTTCAAATGATACGAAATATTAATAACATTCCAACGTTTGGGTCCCGACCATTGGAATGTAAGCTTGCGCAGAACGTATGCGCAGAACAGACTTTACATGGTCTGTAAATACGTTTAAAAACAAATTTTATATTATATTATTGTTGAATGTTGGTTTTCAAGTGTGAATCAATGTTTAAAAATTTCCTTCAGTCCATATTATATATATTGTATTTACAATGAAAAACTTTCTGCAATAAAAGCAAGTGTGTGCCCCTAGGGGCCGCGGAACCGGGGGCCAATGGGGGCATGTGACACCCCACTTTTTAAAAGTGAAAAAAGTGCCCTTTTTTCTGGGCTTAATTTAAAGAACGAAGATTCAAGTATTTCTTGAATAAACGCCCTCTTTTTCTGGAAAGTAAATTTTGCTCTTTTCGCAGTAGTAAAGACTCTGTAAAGGCCATTTCCGACGTTATAGAGCCTCCATATTTTCAAAAATTTTCGTTCGGCTCGTGAACGATATAAAATCGTTTGATTTTGGTCATATACAAAAGTGCCCCTTTTGGTCAATGCCCCTCCACTTTCGAAATGCTTCCGCGGCCTCTGAGTGTGTCAGTGTCACAGCCTTTCGTCGATGTTTTCATCTGAAATGAGCACGATAATTTTCCTTCTTGTCATGATCCCCAAAAGAATAATTAACAGAGATACGTATAAATGTAAATTTTTTAAACGCATGTGATTAATTTAGTGCATTTTTTGACATGGACTAATTTGTCGGCTCGGGGCATTTGTTTTGCTTTTCCGTCCCAAGGGTGAGGCATTGTTCCTTCTTTTTTGCCCTACCGCCCGGACATTTGCACGAAAAAAATAAAAAATTTACCAATGCCCGGGAATTGTCCTAGGGGGGGGGGGGGATGGTCGCAGCTGGAATTGACTGATGCATTAAACAAAGTAATCGTCATATCATATTCAATATTATGACGTCATGTTGACATGAAAAAACCATATTCAATGTTATGACGTCATAGTGTTGATATGAAAAAATAATCAACGTTATGATGTAATGCTGTGGAAATACAAATACGAAATGTAACGGATGTGTTCGCAGGTTTAAAGGAAACAACGTTTAGAATGTAAAGAAGAAATACCAACGAAAACAGCCACGTAAGTTTTGACTAACATGTTAACGTCCTTATGAGAGAAAGGAAAGATTTTCCGCAAATGGGAAAAAGAACTGGTGAATTACTTCCACGAATTGAACCTACAGGTGCGCATGTCTTTTCCATATTTTAAATAAATAATAAAACAATTATTGAATTCAATTTTCGAAAGATATGAAAAGCACTCGGTTTGTAACATGCGGGAGAGTTAAGTGCATATACTTTTATCTACTAAACAACTCGTTCAAGGAGTTTCACACTACTGCAGTGTAATACCATAGTTAATAGAATAGATAGTTTGGAAACTCATTAGAATAACAATATAACTCATGCATTATCTATGTTAGTCAACGTTTATTCATAAATATGGTCCTTCACCGTCACGTGTTTATTGTATTTTTGTCAAACCCACCAATAGCAATTTCCTATTTACCCTGCCCCTACTCGAAATTATCTGCCCCAACTCGAAATTATCTGCCCCTACTCGAAAATCGGGGTTCTTCTGTTCCATTCCATCAGTGTTCCGAAAATCCGGAGTATTCCGAATAGTAAATGGAGCAGCTTGCAAAACAAACGTTTGCTAATTTCTCATGCAATTTTCACCCAAATTGAACCAAAATTTAATCGATTTGTTCGTGAACTATTTCTATTGACTCCACAATTTTTCGTATTAACACGTTGGGTATCTTTCTGTTAATAACATCGTAATAACGTTATCAAAGAGAAGGACAAAAACGTACAGTTCAGTTTTAAAAAGGAAATTAAACATTTACAAACCTTTTCAAAAGACAACTGCTACATGTTGAGTTTACACACCAGCCGCCATCACAATGTACATCAAGTTCACATGATAACCCCAAACATCTCTCACGACAAATTACATCACCCTCAGGTATGGTACAACACCTTAACTCACAGTTCTGACCAGATTTACATTCTTTTGCACTGGTCAGTAACACGAAACTGGGTAAAACAATCAACAATTTGAACAACATGACTCTAAAAAGGTTTCACCACAAATGATTGACCATTCAGCGAGTGCGTGGTTATATTTATCAATTTCAATTTCAATTTCAATTTCGATTTCAATTTCAATTTATTCATACAGTATAATATAATATAGGTACAAACATTAATAAGACAAGGCCGCTAGGTCGAGGCGGAATTGTCTATAGTGACACACAAAAAGTAAATAAATATTAATTTACAAAGCCATCAATTATATCGAAAATACATTGACACGATAACAAAATGGTCGGAAGCAATTATCGACCAGATTTACATTCGAGCAATTTCTGACCAGATTTACATTCTTTTGCACTGGCCAGTAACACGAAACTGTATAAAATTTAAAACAATCAACAATTTGAACAACATGGCTTTAACAAAGTTTCACCAGAGAGTGTGTGGTTATTTATCGAAAATACATTGACATAACAACAAAACGAAACGTACTTTCGATTATGCTGCTGCTAAAGTTTGGAATGAAAGAAATAAAAACTCTTGAATTATCTTTTATTTGGGTGGGGTTTGAGTGTGAATATTTTACTGTTATCATCTGGGGAGGGTGGATGGGAGTTTCTTATACTGTTTGCAACTACACGGCCTAATGAAAAGCAACGAAAACCTTGCAAATATTTTATAGTTGATTAGCTACCGTGTATAAAGACGTTTTAATAATAATAATAAATAATAATAATAAAAAGTGCTAACTGAATGCTCTGAACCAATTATCGCTGAAGTATTATTTACCACTAAAAGAGTTTTTTGTTTGGTAATTTATGAGTGCTGAAACAGGCTGAGAAAGTGCAATGCAAGGAATTTGGCCGGTTGTTTCACTATTGCACTGCACTGTGGGAGGGCTACCCCCATGCAAAATATAACGCTGAAGCCGAGATTAAATCTGAAAAATTGCTTTATAATCGGCACATGTCAGGAAGTCATTAACTAAGGCTTTCTAAGTACCCGGAATGTTGAAAAGCATACTATTACCAGAAATTTCGTAAACAAATTTCATGAATTTTGTAAATAAATTAGGTCCCAAATTGAACATGGTGTCGTGATTTTTATTTCAATTTACTTTGCCGGTTTTTTATTGGGAATTTTTTAAGGCGAAGCGACTTTTGCCGACGTTGATAAACGACGCCGATAAAAGGTCGCTTTTGTCTTAGAGTAAAATTCTATTCTTGATGATCATGTCTCCATTTGCATCCATTGGCGTTGCCGTTGTATCTGCCAAACTCACTAATATACGGATTTTAAGTGGTAATTATCATTTACACCGAGAGTGCGGTAAACGTCTATGTGAGTCTATGTGTGCGAATATCTTTCAATTTCTGCCCTATGGCAATGTAAATTATAGCAAAAATCACGCACCATATCGAGTTATATATAGTCTTATAGAGATAATTTATTCCGAGTGGGAAGGAATCGTGTCCGAAACTTCTGGTGATAAAAAGGGAGCGAAAGAATTTTTTGAAATATCATCAACAGCTCGAGAGATAAGACAATTTTAGACTCGGTACTGGATAGATCCAATTGAAGCCAATTCAAGAAAGATGTGGCACAAGTCTAAGACGACTTCGACAAATAAAAAATGATTAAAGGCAACATAATAGATTAATAGACAAGTATTTCCAAATGTTTTGTGAAAATATTTAACCGTAGTTGGCGGTTGATTTAACATTACAGTGCAATGACTCAGATTCATTGTTAAAGATAAGTAATCAAACCTGTATTATTGCAAGATCAGTATTAACTATTAACTTCTATTTTCACAGCGATTAACTCCTATTTTCACAGCGAATGCGAATATTTAACAATAGTCCTAGGTTGACCTAAAATTTCAGTCCAATGACCCAGATTCATTATCAAAGATGAGATAAATAATCTGTCCAGGGTTATTGCAAGATCAGTACTAACTCCTATTTTCCCAGTGCATGCCAGTATTTAACCATAGTTCTAGGTTGACATAACATATCAGTCCAGTGTTCAAGTTCCTTGCCACGTGCATACATCATCCCGCCCAGTAATACTCGACCAATCAGCTTGCCGTCCGAAGTTACGTCACTTCCGGTACTTTGATATACCGACAGCAGTAAGCTGCACGTTGGAAGGTCGTCGCTTGTTGCGTTGATGTGAAATGTTTCGTTGTAAAATGGCTCAATTGTATCGCATTTTACGTTGGTTTTCTTTACTTTTAATACATTGTTACCTTTCGAAAACGTCACTTTTACATACGTATCTATGAAGAAAAAATGCCGTTAATCTCTGAATATGATCCCCAATCTCAGCTGGGCATAACGCGTGACATCACGTTAATGCATATTGACAAAGCAACGATCTTTGGTAATATATATTGGGGCAATCTAGTTTTTACGTGCACTCAGATGTATTATACCATTTCTTGATGCATGTATTCCACCATCCTTCCCCTCGCCCGTTTCAATGTTGGCGTCTTGCAAAGAAACATCAAATTTTTGTTGGGCCCAAATTTCACTCACTAGTTAAGTCACTGTGCATTGGTCTTACTCATAATAATAAACATGAAAAAAATTCTCAATTCTGATTGGCTAACAGCAGTGTAATTTTTTCAAAATACAGGGCCAAAAAAAATGAAATACAGTGCAAAAAAGAGAAATACAGTGCAAATTTCATTGACTATTTAGTTGGCTTAAAATATGAAACAATAACAAAGATAGCCAATAAGATACAGCAATTTCCGGCAGAAATAATAAAAAAAACACACATTTAGGAGTTTTTAGGAGTGACTGCATAATTTTTCAATTATATTATTAATAAGTACTGTTCTTGTATGGTTTCTCGTGCAATTTGACAAAGAACATACACTCGTGATTTTTTCAAAGACTTCAAATTGCACTCATCCTTCGGACTTATTGATAGTTTTTGAAAAACTCACTCGTGCATGTTTTTTTTTCAAATTGCACTCAAAATAATACTATTACCTATACAAATGTTTGCAGTGAGAGTGCATGGCATTAAGGCCCGACTCTCCGAGCACTTTTTCTAGTCAGCGAAGAAATAAATGGACCATTTGCATCATAGACTAAATTTTGGTCTAGACAAAAATTTCATCACAGCTTGAAAGAGCATCACAAAATTAGTAATATTCCAAAGTTTCGTTGCGAAATGTTGTAAAATGCGGGATAATATAGCCTTGCGAAATTTGCAATTTTTAGTCATTTTGTATTACAAACGGGAAATTGATGCCCCAACACCCGATTGGGCTGTCAATTTGTAATACTTGACAAAATGACTGAAAAACGGCAAACTTCGCAAGGCTATATTATATTACTAATTTCGTGATGCTCTTTCAAGCTGTGATGAAATATTTGTCCAGACTTGTCTAGATCAAAATTTAGTCTAGAATGCAAATGGTCCATTGTCATGTATTTAGTTGCATGCAAAACATTTACAAACGATGAATACGTATTATACACAAACCCGGATTGCTTATTCCTTTATGGAGTGGAAGATGGATGGCTCTTAGAACAATTACACTGAGTCTGTCCAAGACTGGATAGTGCGCCAATGATACATGAAGATCTCCAAGTTTTGATTCAACCTAAATCGTCAAAGAAACAGATGTAGCGCTATACGGCTATAGATATAGTGTTCAGCAAGAAAATTTACATTTTGATTTGCAGCTTCACTCAACTCGACGGTCGCCATATAGAAATATTTGGATAAAGAATCCTGCAATCTTATTGGTTAAAAATTTGGCGATCGTCTGGCGCTCGACGAAAAGTAGAAGTTATCCTACCTTTCGTTTGACGATCTTCTCAAAAATCATCTAGTGGAGTTCCGCCTTTAGAGCGTGAAAGCATGACGCACGTAGGCGAGTAAACTAATTAGGTTATGCAAAAATGTACAGCAATTACATGTTAGACGAAAATGCACTAAATGTGATAGCAACTTATGTAGTAGAATGTACACAGAGCTAAACACGGAGGGGCTAACGCTGCTACTCGCTACAGAAAGTAAACTGAGAACCAAATACAAGCGCTAAAATTGAGGAGGTAACATAAACAAACCAACTTAGGCTATAAATACGGAACAAAGAGATAAGTGGTCATCAACAAATATGCAATCGAAACTTAAAACAACTAAGTCTATAAGCAAAAGGTGTATATAGCGATAAGAATCTGGATTAAAGAATCTGGATTAAAGCTAAGAATCTGGATATAAGAATCTGGATATAAGAATCTGGATTAAAACCCGCAAAATCTGCCTATATAAAAGATACAGATAAGCGAGCAAATAATGTACAGCAAAGTGAAGAATCTTGTGTGTGGATATATGCTTAGAATGAAAATAAGATTTTGAGAGGCACGACTTAATTTAGGCCACCAGTAAATAACAAAAGAATATGGACAAGTGATACATATTATATCACACAACATACCGCTAAACTTCGATCAACAGCTGGATTGTTTGATGTTGAAGCTTGTGCAGGAATAGTTGCCGTGACAAAACGATGAACTTGCTCTGGTGCTGCTACAGTGATACTTTCACGATCAGACATTGTGCTTGCAGCGCTGACTCGATCAAAGTGGTTGTAATTTATTCGACCGATTATATTTGATAGTGGTTGTAATTTGTTCAACCGATTATGATAGCGCGCTAGTTGAGCCCGCTGTAAATAGTAGTTCTAACTATAATTAGATTGATGATGTTTGTGAAATTGACATTTCTAGGCAACGTTTGCCTAGTACGAAAGGCTGTACAATGTCAATGTGCTGAAATTTTCTCTTATTTTATTATTTACTTAAAAATACTAGGCTACTACATATAATGGAAAGGATGAACAACATGACAACTGCCGCTTGATCACCATGCATCTGTTTCAGGATGGTATTTATTAAAACACACATATTTAAAGCCAAACACCTACCTCTGAAAGGGTTTCTAAATCGCGCCATATTTCCACAGCGAATTTCTCGTCCTTCAGTGAATATAACACGTGACCAATAACGTCACTACGGCGGCCTTTGCCGTGATCGTAGACTGACAACCGCAGGACGCGCTGACGTAGATGATCGCGGGCGACTTGAAAATTAAACACCTCACAAAAATTTGGGTTACGAGTCCGTCTTTTGACCTCGGTCTGATGCTGACAACGGTCATCCGGCAAAAGATAGAGACGCACTTGGGGCTCTGGGGAGAGACCTGAATCGTCCCGTAACGGGAGATGACGTATTTTTAAAATGTTTACTTGCAGTTTTTCCGTAGAACTTTGGTAATCTACTTGAAACCATATTCGACCTATGTGACCAATAGGATAGTTTGTTTCATCTCTGATATCTTCCTGCCCGGCGGCGTCTGTCTTGTCTTCTATATAATTAAATCAATATATATATATATATATCAATATATATATATATATATATATATCAATATATATATATATATATATATATATATATATATATATATATATATATATATATATATATATATATATATATATATATATGTTGTTTTGTTGTAGTAGATAATAAAGTGCTCAACACTAGTATTATAGTAGAGCAAGATATATTTATATCTTAAAATTAATTATTGCTACTCAAGTTTCACGCCTTATTCAAGACGATCTTCAGGCAATTAATTCAGTTAGTGTTTGATTCGTCAATATCAACGGTCGCTCGCTGACGTGGAGGTTTGTCTATCGTCACCGGTTTGAATTTGCACGCGCTAAATTTTTCCTTGTGACAGCACTTTGCATAAAACTCTGATCGCGTGTTCAGTGAATTGTTTCCTTTCGCTTTCAGGATACATAATTTCTCTTCCAAACAGAGGCCACATCGCTTTCCACCAGGCGTGTACGCAGAAGCTCGTTTCAAGATGGACCACTTGATGCTGTAATTTCTTCTACTTTGCTTCAGACTCCAAATGTACTTCGAAAGCTTTGTGTCAGACGAGTGGTTGTAGAGGTTGAATGACGTTTTGTGGTTGGCGTATCTTTCTTTGAATGGATTGGCCGTCATTCCAATATACTCTTTTGTATTTCCGTCATCAGTTGTCACCGTGGCTTTATAGACAATGTTGTCTACTTTGCACTTTCCGTCTAGTGGGCATTCATCTTGTTTTTGGCAGTTGCATGGGACAGGTTACAGGTTCAGGTTCGGGTTCAGGTTCAGGTTCGGTTTGTTACAGGTTACAGGTTCTTTCATGGCTGAAAGAAATGCTTATGTAACACTGAAGGATCACAAAGAAAACTTTTAAAACAACCCCAAATTACGTCTCATTAATCCTGCAAAGAGTGAGCTGGGAAAAGTCAGCAAAGTCATTCTTGACAATATTAACAATCGCATTAAATCTTCCATCAACGTGAATCAATGGAAAAATTCCTATTCTGTCATCGATTGGTTCAAATCTGTTAATAATAAACCTAACCACATGTTTCTGTCATTTGACATTGTTGATTTTTATCCTTCAATCACCGAAGAGCTCCTGGATAAAGTTATTAGCTGGGCTAAAACCATTACATCAATCTCTGATGATCATGTAGCTGTCATCAAACACGCACGCAAATCCTTACTTTTCCACCAAAATAAAACGTGGGTTAAAAGAAATAACGATACAATGTTCGATGTTACAATGGGTAGCTATGATGGAGCAGGGATTTGCGAACTAGTCGGATTATTCATCTTAAGTAAACTTGAGGCGAAGTTCGGAAAGAACCAAGTTGGTTTGTACAAAGATGATGGGTTGGCAATTTTGAAAGCTAGACGAGCCAGATCAGCAGATAAAGCGAGGAAAGAACTACACGCTATCTTTAATAATATTGGCTTCAAGATAACAGCAGAGGTGAACCATCATGTTGTCAACTTCCTCGACCTCACTTTGGACTTGAAAAACGAAACATTTTCACCTTACAGGAAACCAAACAACGACCCTCTCTACGTCGACAATAGATCTAACCACCCACCCTCTATCATCAACCATATCCCTTCCTCAATCAGCAAACGCATCTCCTCGCTCTCTTCCGATCAAGCATCCTTTGATTCTGCTGCACCATTCTACGAAGATGCGCTTAAGCGCAGCAACTACGATGTACCTCTGCAATACTCGGCCTGTGATAATTCCTCCAGTTTGCCATCTACCAACCGAAGACGTCGTAGAAACATCATTTGGTTTAATCCACCCTTCAGCAAAACAGTTCGAACTAACATCGGTCGAAATTTCCTACAGTTAATTGATAAACATTTCCCTTCTACCAACCCGCTCCATAAGGTCTTTAACCGCAACACAGTCAAAGTTAGCTACTCCTGCATGGAGAATATCAAAACCATAATATCCCGACATAACCATCGCCTGTTAAAGAAAAACCCTACACAAAAACCTGTCCCATGCAACTGCCAAAAACAAGATGAATGCCCACTAGACGGAAAGTGCAAAGTAGACAACATGGTCTATAAAGCCACGGTGACAACTGATGACGGAAATACAAAAGAGTATATTGGAATGACGGCCAATCCATTCAAAGAAAGATACGCCAACCACAAAACGTCATTCAACCTCTACAACCACTCGTCTGACACAAAGCTTTCGAAGTACATTTGGAGTCTGAAGCAAAGTAGAAGAAATTACAGCATCAAGTGGTCCATCTTGAAACGAGCTTCTGCGTACACGCCTGGTGGAAAGCGATGTGGCCTCTGTTTGGAAGAGAAATTATGTATCCTGAAAGCGAAAGGAAACAATTCACTGAACACGCGATCAGAGTTTTATGCAAAGTGCTGTCACAAGGAAAAATTTAGCGCGTGCAAATTCAAACCGGTGACGATAGACAAACCTCCACGTCAGCGAGCGACCGTTGATATTGACGAATCAAACACTAACTGAATTAATTGCCTGAAGATCGTCTTGCATAAGGCGTGAAACTTGAGTAAATATATATATATATATATATATATATATATATATATATATATATATATATATATATATATATATATATATATATATATATATATATATATATATATGTATGAATAATAAGACAGCTATTAACAGAACTAATTATGAATTAAGGAAAATAAATCGCCAGTATTATCAAATAAAGTTAAGCGAAAGCTCTGGTGATTCCAAACGTACTTGGGCTGTTCTGAATAGTCTATTTGGTAAACCTTCAAAGAATACAGAAATAAACAAAATTAAGGTCTCCCCGAATGAGATTATTACCAGTGGTGAAGATATAGCTAATAATTTGAATCAACATTTCTCTGAAATTGGGGTCAAACGTTCGTCTATTGGAACACAAAATCACAACGTTCGTCGTTCCTCGAGCATGTCGCATTACGCATGTTGGCCGCCATTTTGCTAGCCAGTCAACGAAATTTTCAGGCTAATAAATACGCTGTACTGGCTGGCTGCTCCGCTTTCTGGCCAGTAAACTGCATATTTTTGCACAAAAAAGCGAGGACACGTTGCACCGCTTAGTGGCCCTTCTGTTACTGATCTTTATTCTGTGGCGTTGTTAAGTTTGAGGTTGGATTGTGCACAGGCAGCCCAATCTCACAAGGGTCAGTATAGACTTATAATATAATGTATTTTATAGCAATGTATATTTATATAGTAAAAATATGTCATAAAATATAAATTTTAAAATGAAATTGACTTGCCTATTTGATAGTGTGTGTTCTCCTTGTATTCCTCCTTTGTTGTACTAATATTTTCCGAGACTTTGTGCTCGATGTTACTAGTGTACATGATACATGATAAAGGCTAACGATTTCCGATCGTCGATACGACGGCACGGCACTTCGAATCGAAAATTCTCACACTCAAATCGCTTTATTCTCCAAAAAAATTCGCCAGCATGTAGAACAGATGCAGTTCTTCGAAAATACAGAGATATTTCGGCGAGATGTACAAGTTTTGGACCACATTTTAACGATGGAAATCAAAACCCATTTTATATTGAACTTGCCCAGGCCGAAAATTACTACGGCGAACGCCTGCGCAACCAGGCCTCCTTTACTGTTGGGATTTACAGGGGGGAAGCAGATATTTCCGGTAACAGCCAGCCAATCGCAACCGTGATAACGACTGTTTACATTATTTGAAATTTGATATTCAAAATAAAAACTCCTTCGATCGGATACTGTATAAAACTCGAGATGTTGTCGAAGAAAAGAAAACTAAACGACGGGGATTGTTGGAATTTAAGGAAGAGAAATAAACAGCGGCTCTTTGTTGGAAAGCATGGTAGAATATGATACTTTTAATTGTAACATTCTTGAGCAGAACAAAAGTTTGCCTACTTCTAAACTAGTTGACCTGATTGACATTTATCAATTACAGCAACACATACAGTGTCCCACGAGAATTACTAGTACAACAGCATCACTACTGGATGTTATCCTCACTTATTATGGTGATTATAAAATATTAGATACAGGAGTAATACACCTTGGTATCAGTGATCATAGTCTTGTTTATCTGTGTCGAAAGCTCAGCATTCCTAAGGCGCCACCAAAAACTGTCTTTACTAGACATTATAAAAATTATAATGTTAACCAGTTTAACAACGATCTAAGTGAGTTTGCCCTTGGATTCAGCTATTTTAACTGACCCCGAAATGCCTTATGGAACGATTTTAAAAATAAGTTTTTGAGCGTCGCAGATAAACATGCACCAATCAGACAACGTCGTGTCAAGAGTGAATATAAACCGTGGCTGACAAATGAAATTAAGCAAATGAGTTATCGTAGGGATTACCTTAAAAAGCAATCGATTAAATTAAGATCTGCGTATTATGATAAGGCTTATAAGAGATGTAAAAACAAGTTAAATAATCTCATAAAAGAAACTAAACAAGAATACTTTAGAGATAAACTAAGCAATGCTAAAAATAGCAAAGAAAGTTGGCGAACTATTAACGAATTATTAAACAAAAAGCCTAAAACTTCAGAGGTTAAAGAACTAGATATAAATGGCCAACTTATTACTGACGATGATAAAATTGCAGATGCCTTCAATCAATATTTTTCCACAATTGGCAGTACGTTGTCTGACAAGATCACAGGTAACTGCACTGATCCAATGAACTTTGTGACTCCTCTTGATGGTAGTATATTCAACTTTACAAGCATTACACTCCAAGAAACAATAGATGCACTCAATGAAATTAAAACTAAGAAATCTCCAGGGCTTGATGGTATTAGTATAAGGTTACTAAAAGATGCATCTAACATTGTGGCAGGACCACTAGTGAACATATTCAATGTATCCCTTCAAAGAGCAGTTTTCCCTAATGATTGGAAATTAGCAAAGGTGACTCCCATATTTAAAGAAGGAAATAAGGCAGACTGTGAAAATTATAGGCCAATATCTGTTATTTCAGCTGTAGCTAAACTTTTCGAAAAACTGGTATACCTGCAGCTAAGTTCATTCTTGAGGTTGAATGGCATTCTTGTGGAACAGCAGTCTGGCTTCCGTCATCAACATTCTACTGAAACTGCACTGCTTAGTTCTACAAATGAATGGTTGTTCAATATGGACAGAGGTTTACTTAGCGGAGTTTTATTTCTAGACCTTAAAAAAGCTTTTGATACTGTCGACCATCATATTCTTTTATCAAAGCTTGAATTATATGGTATTAAAGGAACTAGCCTGAAATGGTTCGAATCATACGTTTCTGGTCGAAGCCAAATATGCTCTGTGAATAGCAAGATGTCAGCTGTTAGACAAATAAAATGCGGGATACCTCAGGGCTCTAACCTTGGGCCTATTTTATTCCTATTGTACATAAATGATCTTCCTAACTGTTTAGAGACAACTAAAGCAAATCTTTTTGCTGATGACACAAGCCTTTCTTGTGAAGGGTTTAGTCCATATGAAATTGAGATCAAACTTAATAAAGACATTGAAAATGTTCATAGGTGGTTGACAGCTAACAAGCTCTCATTAAATATGAAAAAGAGTGAATTTATGATAATAGGATCAAGACGTCGCTTAGCTTCAATTGAAAATAGCCCAGTACTAACATTAGGGGGAAACAACATTAAGCGAGTTTACCAAAAAAAGTCACTAGGCATGATCCTTGACGACCAGTTAAAATGGAATAAACATAATGAAATGCAATGTAAAACAATTTCAAATAATATCGCCCTGCTGAAAAGAGCAAAATTGTTTGTCAATAGAGATAGTCTGATAAAAATCTACAATGCCTTAGTGTGGCCTCATTTCAATTATTGTTCAACAATCTGGAATGATGGATGTTGTTCGATAATTGATAAATTGTTTATACTGCAGAAGAGAGCAGCGCGTGTGATAACAGGGGGGACACATACGAGGTTCGTTCCATGCAAACGCTAGATAGTCTTAATTGGCTTCCAATAGAAGAACTTCTAAAACAACGACAGTTAATAATGACATTTAAAGTACTAACTGGTCGATTACCTCGATACCTTGAAAAATTGTTTTCAGTAAGTCAAAATGACAATTACAATCTAAGAAGCAATCAAATTAAATTGAACCTACCCAAACCTAAGACAAATTTTCTCAAACGAAGTTTCTCGTATAGAGCTGCTAAGTCCTGGAACGAACTTCCAAGTGAAACTATTGAAAATTATAACAATCTTTCAATTTTGTCGTTTAAACGGCAATTACTTAATTCATCCGTATCAATTCATTGTAAATAGTTATATTCTTTTTGTCCTTTTTATATTATTGTTGTAAACACACGGCCCTTTGAAAACCAGCGCTGTAAATATTATCTGCTGAACAGGCTACCGTGTTTAAATAATTTTATTAAAGATTAAAGATTAAAGATTAAAGATTAAAATTTGACAGTATTAAAGCTACTTTTGAGAATTTAGATTTTAGGTCTTTGTTTTACATGTACCCAGTAAATATTTTTGAGTTTTGAACTTTGATTCTCACAAGCTTACAATTTGTTTACAATTTACTCTGCCTCTGGCTCTGCCGTGCTGCACGGCAGAGTTGATCGGAATTGTAACAAATACGCGTACACTTAAATGGCTTCTTGAATTTAGTCAATCAGATGTGTAAAAATTACTCGTTTCAATTTTATGTTTATGCTCGAAACTGCTCATGTTTACAATAGCAATTCTAACAATCTTGCCCTCCTTTTCGCCTTTGAGGCGTTGGTGTTGATTTATACACAAAATTCAAAACTCAAAAATATTTACTGGTCTGGGTACATGTAAAACGAAGACCTAAAATCTAAATTCCCAAACTCGGCAAAAGCAGCTTTAATACGGTCAAATTTTCCGAAGTCTGATTTAGTTGTTTCAAAAGTATAGAATACACACACACTTCTGTATGGATTTCGTACATGTTCTACATGTCTTACAGTAAAAATACAAAAATTGTCCCACTCCGCGGTTTGTTGTGATTTTAATACTGTAATTTGTTTTGTTTTTCTGTAGCGATTACCGATTTATCGGCAAATACCGCGATTTGAAAACTTACTTTTCTTTATTTATTTCATTCTACAGCATTTATAGTTCTACAGCTATCTTATACAGTTTTATAATATTGTGAATGATTCCGAATATTCAAAACGAATTGAAAGAATGAAAGCAGTAATGATGTACTGTAACTATGGGCTCATTTCATAGTTTAGAACCCAGACTCTCACGGACAGTTTTGGCGCGAAACTAATTCATTATATGCGAACGTTCATAGAGTTTACAGTTAACTTTAGAGACTTGCGATTGTTTTGATATTCTATTTCATACCTGCGTGTATTTATAGTAGACGTAATTCGTTTTATGTCAAGTGATTCAAGTTTAATATAAAAGAAACGAAACGTTGCGTTGAGTTCAGGGGCGTAGGAAGCGGGGGGGGGCACGGGGGCACGTGCCCCCCCCAAATTTTTTTAAAGGACTAAAAGTGCCCTTTTTTGTGATAAAAAGTGCCCTTTTTGTGTTGAAAAGTGCCCTTTTTTGTGAGGAAAAGTGCCCCTTTTGTAGAAGCTAATGTCGCTGTAAATACTAAATTAAAACAATAGGTGCCGTTTTTGTGTGGAAATTTACAATTTTTTTTTAAAAATTAGGTCACAAACATAAATTTCGATATGATACGACGGAAAATTTTCCTCCGCCCCCGTCGACAACATTTCCGGGAAAAATTTTTTAGGTGCCCTTTCCGATAGTAATGTGCCCCTACAAGCCGGTGCCCCCCCAAACTCCAGGTGCTTCCTACGCCCCTGGTTGAGTTACTTGTCAGTTCAAAATATAAACGAATTAATCCTGACAATTGCGTATAATACACGCAGATTGCGAACGTCAGGAGCTACAGTAAAACGAAATCATCTACAGAAAGAACTCAAGGCTTTCCTGTATCTTGTTTGAAGGTTTGAAGTCATTGGATTGTTTACGTACCTTTATATATCTAGCGAACTGTCTTTGATACTTGATAGTTTTCTGAAATAAACAAGGCGTACGTCGCCATCTTGGACGCCGTCGGCACAGAATACTACACAGAAGTCCATCTCCATTGTTTTTTGCGTAAGCGCTATTCGTCATGATTCGTCACTCAGCAAGTACCGTAAACAGAAGCAGTCACCCCCCTGGAAATACTAAAAATGGCGCACGTCCAGGGGGGTGACTGCTTCTTTTTACGGTACTTGCTGAGTGACGAATCATGACGAATGGAGCTTACGCAAAAAAACAAAGGAGATGGACTTCTGTGTAGTATTCTGTGCCGTCGGGATATAATCGGAAGCGAATCGGAACGCATTCGTAAACATTGCGTAATAGCGAAATGAGTAACGAAAATACGGAAATTTGTCGCGAAAGTTTATGCGAAAATGCTGAAATCGTCGAAGGAGCAAAAAATATCGACAAAACGGAAGATTTACAGAAATTACCACCTGATCGCGACGTGGTCATGCGTTTACAAGATCAATTTCACATTGCTTCTAAAATTTGGAGGAAAGAAATGAATGACTTGCGGTATAAACTCGTGAATGAGAGGAACATCAGCTCACTCGAACTTGGGTCTCAAGCCTTGTCGGAATGCATGAAAGAACTAACATCGGCTCAAGATGCACTTGAAAATACCTTGGAATCAGCTGTAGAAAGAATGACCTTATTCACTAAATTTGAGAACACAAGTCGTGAGACGAACGCCATTCTCAAGGAAGTTAACGAGGTTATTTACGAATTAAAGATGGTTAATGATGATCGGTCATCGGTTGCTTCTTCCAGACGAAGTAAAAAATCCTCAAGAAGTAAGTCCTCTCGTTTAACCACAGCAAGCACAACTTCAACAGCGCGACAACGTCGACTCAACTTAGAAGAAGAATTAGCTACTTTAAAGGCCAAGATGCATATGGCTGGAAAGAAGGAAGAGTTAGACGAAGCCAATCGAAAGGCTTTAGAAAACCTTGACGAGTTAAGGCTTCAACTTCAGAAAGAAGAAACGAGAGTGAAGGAAGAAATACAGAACGCCACGAAGAGATTCCAAATTGCAGAGGAACTAGCAGAAAAGAAGGCAAGAATTGATGCGTGCAAAAAATTCGAAGAAGAGTTCGCACCACTACCTTTGGTAGACAGCGATGAGGCAAGTTGTGCCCAAGAACGCCTCACAAGATTTCTAGGGCTCCAACCGGACATGCCAAATGCTGATAACTCCGTACGGGAAAACACAACTGCTGCCGAGTCCACGCCACCAAAGGACCCGAAATTAACGCCAAAGTTATGCCCATTAAATCCGTCTACTCCTGAATTTGTCCCTAATGCTGTGCCTTCCATCCCCACAAACCAGCAGGACACTATACCTCCCGTGATCGAGAAAATTGTAACCAACCCTGTCCTCAACGAACCTAGCCTTGTTCAAGCTCAACTTGACGTAATTTCAAAATTATTAGAAGTTCAGAATCAAAATCGTCTACCATTGCCCGAACCTGGAATCTTCAATGGCGATCCCCTCCAATTTCCAATTTGGCTAAAGGCATTCGAGACACTGATCGAAGGTCGAGCAATAAATCCTGCGGAAAGGCTCCACTTCCTAGGCAAGTACGTCACA